CCACCGTTCAGTAAGGTAACTTTCTTAACACTTATTTCAAATACGTGTTTAACGACAGCCAACTGTCACAATGGTTAGATGAGTTAATATTTATCATCTTCTACCTGTGAGAGCGAGTGAATGAAATAGAGAACAGGACAAAATGACAAAAAGCGACAACATAATGATGAAATCCAAGTAATTTCTACTACTACTTCACCTTTTTTCTGAAACACTCGACTAGAGTTTAAAACTTTGATGTTGCACAAATCGTGCCGTTGTGTCGTCGTCTTAATATTCCTCGAATTAATTAATGGCTAATTAATTTATATTTTTACGAGGACATCGCGTTGTTAGAATAACGTCGAATTTCGAAAAAGGGAAGCAAATAACAAGCAAACTTTTCTTCAACGACTCATAATAAATTCAGTGAGTTGCAACAACAACAACAACAAAAATGAAAAAATCTTACAGAAAATGTTGTTGACATTTTATGTTTTAAGAAGGCCATTATGAGTTGAGAGTTTTTGTTCTGGAAAAGTTTACTAAACATTGTGGTACTTATATTGAAATTCATGATTAGAAGTGTCTGAATAAATTATTTGAATTACAGTTTTTGTCCTTGTTGTCGTTGCTGCCTCCGTGTTTTTCACGTGGAAAGGATTAGAATCAACTTTATTTGCATTGCATTGGCCGACCATGTTGGAAACGTCTATTAGTCTGGTGGCACTGGGGTTCAGAAGATAATAATAATTACACGTTTGTTGTTTTGTAGTTTTCCACAATAATTTAATTGCCATTTTGTGACTAAACCTCATGACCTCTGACATTTACTGGCTTAAAACATGGGTTTTATATTTATTAATGCTGAATGAATGAATGAATGAATGAATGGCTGTCTGGCTGGCTGATTTTTCCTTTTGAATGGAAAATGTAATTACTGCCACCATATATTTATTGTCCACTAAAATGAATTGGAAAACGAAATGACAGGAACCAGATAAATAACCAATCCAAAAATTTATTATTTAAGTGTCCATGTAGAATGTAGATATCCATAATTTGTTGTTGTTCAGTTTAAAATAGTACATGGTTTCATTGTGACTCTCAGTCACTTATGGGTTTGGAACTACAATAATACTGTGTGGCAAAAATAAATTGATTTCATAAGTAAACGCTGTTGATGATGAAAATAAAGCTAAACATAGAAGAAGCGTGCTTTTGCATTTTGAAAGTTTACATCACAAAGTAACAGAACAAGTACCCCCCTTTTCCAAATTTTTGAAAAATTTTGGATTAGGATTTCTCGCAATTACTTCATTAGGTACTATATATTAGGCAAATTTGCAAATTTTAATACAGCATGACCACCAAATTTTTAACAACCGGAAAATAGTTCTTATACAGGGTGAGATGAAAAAACTGCAACCAACTTCAGACTGCTGTCATTTCTAAGCCACCAGTCCGACAGATATTAAAATTATTCCAGTGACAGCTCATTCTAGTTTTTACAAGCATATAAAAGCATTTTGGTTAGAATTTTCCAGAAAAAAATTATTCGTGATGGAATTCAAGCGCGATAATGTGATTTCTTTATATTTGGCTGGAAAACCACAAGTGGCTATTGTTAGAGCACTCCAGCATTTAAATGTCAATAAATCTTTTGTGTGTCGTACCATCGCTCGTTACCGTGATACTGATAGTGCAGCCCGACGTCAAGGAAGTGGACGAAAGAAAACGGCAACATTAGCAGAAATGGTTCGAAAAGTAACAAGTAAAAAAGCTGTAAGTTCGGCCCGGCCGAACTTTTAATACCCTCCACCATTTAGAACGAATTTGAAAATTTTTCGAAAAACATAATATTTGCCAAAAATTCTGTTAAAATTTTAAAAATATCGAATATAGCCGTTATATTAGGGCCTGTACGACGTGCACCTACATAGGCATTGTTTGTCACAGGCGATTACCAGATTCAAATTCGAAACTTAAAATAAACGGTGAATAATGTAGCCAAAATCATCAAAATACCATACATAGGGAGGTACCGTTATATAGGAGCTATACGAAGACCTGGACCTGCATAGACAATTTTCTGTCACAGGCTGTAGCTTCCATTACGAACTTTAAACACGACATCTCAAACAATTTCGGTGAGTATTGTACCTAAAATCGTTAAAATACCGAATATAAGGAGGTATGGGGCCTAAACGAAGACCTGGACCTGCATAGGCAATTTTCTGTCAAGGATTGTAGTTCCCATTACGAACTCTAAATACGTAATTTGAAACTACTACGGTGAATAAAAAAATAAAATCATCAAAATACCGAATATTGGGAGGGACCGTTATATGGGGGCTATACGAAGACGTGGACCAGCATAGACAATTTTCTGCCTTAGGCTGTAGTATCCATTTCGAACTTCAAACACCAAATTTGAAACAATTCCGGAGAATAATGTCGCTAAAATCATCAAAACACCGAATATAGGGTGGTACCGTTATATGGGGGCTATACGAAGTCGTGGATCTGCATGGGTAATTTTCTGTCACTCATCAGGAACTTCAAATTCCAACTTTGAAACAATTCTGTTGAATAATGTTGCTAAAATAATCAGAATACCGAATATCGGGAGGTACCGTTATATGGGGGCTATACGAAAACGTGAACATGCACAGACAATTTTCTGTCTTAGGCTGCAGTATCTATTTCGAACTTCAAATTCCAACTTTGAAACAATTCTGGTGAAAAATGTCGCTAAAATCATCAAAATACCGAATATCGGGAGGTACCGTTATATGGGTAGCAGTTGACGAAAAATGGCTCGTGAGCTGAACATATTGCAATATTCCATTCGGCAATTATATTCGGGGTAAAGCCATTGAAATTCCAAAAAGTGCAAGAACTTACACCGCAACAGAAAGGAAATAGACCCAAAAGAGCTAAAGAGTTGTTTCGCTTGGCCGAAAGTGATGATCTGCCGAATTTGTTTTTTTTTCCGATGACAAAACATACGTTGTCCAGCAGTTTGTAAACAACAAAATGAGGTCAGCTGAAAATGAACACCTTAGGTTGGCCACCAGAACTCAAGCGCCGGACATGTTGATGGGGTGGGCCGCCATAACAGCCGATGGTCGCTCTCCGCTCGTATTAATCGACCGTGGCATCAGAATAAATGCCGATTATTATCGCGAAATTGTTGTGGAGGGTGTATTAAAGCCTTGGGCATGTAAACATTTTGGCCGCATACCTTGGACATTTTAAAAGAACTCAACACGCGACACCAAAGAATGGTTACAAAATGAGTATTTTGGAAAGCAAGGTTGACACTAAAAAATAACAAAGTGTCGATCACCTCACGCAAGCGCTTCGCCGCTTTCATTGGCCTTTTGAAGGCCATAATTCGTGCCAAAGGTGACCAATGCGAACAAATATAGACTTATTCTAAAATTTGATGCTATTTCCGATATTTTTTGCTTTCATTATCAAAAATAATCTCGTATAAAGGGGCATGGGGTCTAAAATCGATATTTTAATCGTTTTGGCCATATCAAATATTGAACATGTTATTAGCTAGTTGTTCTTTTTTATACCCTACACCAGAAGGTGGTCAGGGTATTATGTGTTTGTGCATTTGTTTGTAACAGGCAGAAGGAAACGAGATAGACCCATAGTTCCTTTTGATGATCTGCATAGAATCACATTTGAGTCGATTTATGCATGTCCGTCCGTCCGTCTGTCCATGTATTTTTGTAAACAAAGTACAGTTCGCATTTATTGTCCTATCCAGATGAAATTTTGCACAAATCATTTGTTTGGCCCAAGGACGAACCCTATTGAAATTGGAGATAATCGGTCAAAATTTGGATACAGCTCTCATATATATCTTCGTCCGATTTGCCTTTTATTGTGGACCAAACATGTAATATTTGCCCAAATGGGATGAAATTTGGCACTTACAACCGAATCGAGTCTAGAGCTAGTATGTCAAATTTGGTGAAGATGGTATGGCTCCCATATATATGTTTCATCCGATTTGTTATTTTTGTCCTCCGCAGCCGTAATATGCACTCTGTAACAACAATATTTGGAAAAATATATCAAATGCAGCTCAGAAATACCTTTGCTAAATTTTATTTTATTTTATGGATATTATGTATATATATATTTTATGGATATAGCTCCCATATATAACTTCGTCCGATTTGCCTTTTATTGTGCACCAAACGTGTAATATCAGCCCGAATAATATGGAATTTTGCACATACAACCGAATTAGGCTTGAAAATAAGCACGCCAAATTTGATCGAAATCGGTTCAGATATAGCTATAGCTCCCATATATATTTTTCATCCGATTTGTTGTATTTGTTACCCACAGCCGTAATATGCACTCCTTAACAACGATATTCAGGGAAATATATCAAATACAGTTCAGAAAAATCTTTGCCAAATTTTATCGAGATCGGTTCAGATTTGGATATAGCTCCCATATATATCTTTATCTGATTTCAAATTAATTTTGCACCAAATGGGCAATACAAGTCCGAATTTAAAAGATACAAATGCTTCGGCATATTTTGTCCTTTGCAGCGTGTATGATTGAATTCTCCCATAAAAACTTTTAATTGTTATGCGGAGCTCTACTAAATTAGGAAAGTGGTGTAGTGGTGTGGTGTATCATAAAGTCGGCCCCGCCCGACTTTAAGACTTTCTTTACTGGTTTATGCATAGATTTTAGAATCAAAATTTTTACCTATTTATTTATCTTCAATTAGGCATGTTGCGAAATAAATCCATCAAATTATCACACATACACACATAATAAATTATATTTGTAGCGATTAATTTGAATATTTTTGAATTCTAATTAATCATACACCTGGTCGAACTGGCTACCTGTTTTAATTACAGGCGTTATTTTTCTAATAAATTATGAAAAGTGACATTCTTGACAAATTAATTGGCTATGTTTTTTTTTTCTCCATTCGTGAAACCAAAACGGATTATGTAATTGTAACTTACCTTATAAAGACCCCACAGCGAAAGAAGGCAATACGAGACTATAATCAGAGATTTCCATTTGGGGGAGAAACAAAAGGTTGTGGCCGTTACAAATGGCAGGGCACCTGTAATGAGGGAAACAACAAGAAAAAGAAACGCCCCCGAACAAACAAGGGTTAATAGTATATATATAGTCGATGGTAAGAAAAAAAGGTGTTACGGAAACAAATAAATTAATAGTTGAGGATATACCAAAGACAAAAACAACCACAGCCAAAGACATAAAAAAGACAATGTATAAAATTAAACTAACAAAAGGTGGGCTAACTAAGTGACGTCAAAAAAAAATAAGTTTTTTTTACAAAAGTTTGGTAACAGCAATTATTGCAACAGCTAAAGTGTTTAAAAGTACATTTAAAGTTGCCAAACATATGCATACACACATGTAAGCCAAGTAAATTTATTTCCAAATCACTTTCTCATTTCCTTTTGACCTTTGCCTAAAGGCTTCTTGCTCTCATCATCACCTCCACCAATAATTATAGATCAAACAGCTGTCAGTGTGAAATGCTTCGAACAAAATGCTTTCTTTCATTCATTTCCCTATTTTCATTGCCAAAGACGAGTATACACACAGGCATTTTCCTTTATTTCAAAGTGTTGTTCATAATACAGGCTCTTGCACACACATACATACCAACACACACGTACATACATTTGCTGTACATTCGCCTTCACTGAGATTTCCGCTCTAATTATTCTGCAAAAGTACAAAAAATGGCGTTTTTCATTCATTCTTGCTTCCTTTTGAAGCTTTCATAGAGTTTTGATTTTTTTTTTGTTTTGCATAGCTGTTGTAATCGAGGTAAACCACTCAGGTGCTGGTGGTTAAGTCAGACACCAACCACAATGACCTCTAAGTGTTGCTTAAAGGTCAATGTAATATTTAAAATTAAAGTTTTTTTTGTTTTGTTTTAATGTTTGCTTATTAAGCAGCTCACTGTGGCTAAGGGAGGGCCATTGCAACAACTGTTTGTCGAAGGAATGCTGAATTTTGAAAAAGGTTACGAAGTAATGGGCGTTATTTTGCATATAACACATTCATTGCTGTAGAAAGGATATAATTTGTACCGCCTTCGTATAAAAACATGGAGCAATAAATTCAAATTTTAGAATTTTATTCTGGGATATTTTTGAAGAGATCTGTTTTCAATGTATAAAATTGTAAAATTAAGGTGAACAAGTTAAAAAGCAGTAAGTTCAGCCGGGCCGAACTTTGAATACTCTCCACCATTTGGAACGAATTTGGAAATAAAATCCTCAAAAATTCTGTTAAAATTTTTGAAAATAACGAATATAGCCGTTATATTGGTGTCTATGCGATGTGTAGTTCTACGTCAATTCGTCGGCATTGTTTGTCATAAGTCATTACCATATTCATATTCGCAACTTGAAATAAACGGTAAATAATGTACCTAAAATCATCAAAATATGGTACGTAGGGAGTTATCGTTATATCGGAGCTGTGTGAAGACCTGGACCACCATAGACAATTTTCTGTCATAGGCTGTAGCATCCATTACGAACTTCAAATACGACATCTCAAACAATTTCGGTGGGTATTGTACCTAAACTCGTCAAAATACCGAATATAGGGAGGTACTGATATACGGAGCCTATACGAAGACCTGGACCTGCATAGACAAAGTTTCCATTACGAACTCTAAATACGCAATTTGAAACAATTGCGCTGAATAATGACGCTAAAATCATCAAAATACCGAATATTGGAAGGCACAGTTATATAAGGGCTATACGATGACGTGGACCTGCACAGACAATTTTCTGTCTTAGACTGTAATATCCATTACGAACTTCAAATACCAACTTTTAAACAAATCCGGTTAATAATGTCGCTAAATCATCAAAATACCGAATATAGGGAGGTACCGTTATATGGGGGCTATACGAAGACATGAACCTGCACAGACAATTTTCTGTCTTAGGCTGCAGTATCCATTTCGAACTTCAAATACCAAATTTGAAACAATTCCGATGAATAATGTCGCTAAAATCATCAAAATAACGAATATCGGGAGATTCCGTTATATGGCAGCTATATGACAACGTGGACCTACATGGCCCATTTACGAACTTAACCTGCCTACTGGAAAAACCACCCCTTTATCACAAACCTACCACCGACAGGGATTCCAATAAAAAATTTCAGCTGCTAAATTAAACTGTTCCAATTGATTACCATAATATTTCACGGAATTTCTGGTAAAAAAATTTTGGAAAAAATATTTCCAAAACTTTCTGACAAATATCGGTATTGTTTTGAAAATATGTTTTTAAAGCTCGAGGATTTTATAAAAATTATTTTTTAAAGACTTTTTTCAGGAACATTCTGACTAAAATCTGGCCTTATAAAAAGTAAGCTTTTTTAAATTCTTTCTTGAGCTTTCTGGCCAAGAATTTCTGAAGAAGAATCTCTTTGTCGTGGATTAAAACAAAAATATTTTTTAAGGACTTTCTGATCAACAATTTTGGGAATTTTGGATGGATTTTTCTGGGATTTTCACGGATTGGGCTAAAAGTCCACATTTTGGTATGACTCCCAGATAACGATTTGCCTAAAAATTGCAGTTCGTAATGGGTTCTAGGTCCTGTGGTGGAATAAAGTATACATACGTTTCCACGTTTTCGTATGGCCTCCATTTAAAGGTATCTCCGGATATTTAGTATTTTGATGATTTTTTTCCAGGGATTTGTCTAAAAATTGGTGCTTGTAGCTCATAATGGGTTCTAGCTCCTGTGGCTGAACATTGAACATTTTTCCTATAGCGTTTTCCTATAGCGTACATATAACGATTCCCACCGATACTCGATATTTTGATTATCCTAGTCACATTTACTCAAGAAATTATTTCAAATTTGGTAATTAAGAAGATTTGGTAGATGTCAATTCTTGAAGTATAAATTGTCTATAGAGGTTGCCGTTTTGGTATGGTCCCCGTATGACGGCCCCACCCACTTTATGGTTTTTTAAAAAGTTTATCTGTATTAACCAAACGGTTTTACTGTTTTTATACCCTCCACCTTGGAAAGGAGTGTGTATAAACTTTCCGTTTGTAACTCCTCGAAATACTCATGTCAGACCCAACAAGGTATACATATTCTTGATTAGCGTAAAATTCTAAGTCGATTTAGCGATGTCCGTCTGTCTGTTATAATCACTCTACCTTTCGAACGAATCGAGATAAATGGCTAAAATTTTGCACACATGTTTATTTTTCCAGTAGGCAGGTTAAGTTCGTAAATGGGCCATGAAGGTCCACGTTTTCATATAGCCCCCATATAACGGTACCTATCTATATTCGGTAGATTGATGATTTTAGCGACATTACTCACCGGTATTGTTTCAAATTTGGAATTTGAAGTTCCAAATGGATAATACACCCTAAGATAGAAAATTGTCTGTGCAAGTCCATGTCTTCGTATAGCCCCCATATAACGGTACCTCCCGATATTCGGTATTTTGATGATTTTAGCGACCTTTTTCCCGGAAGTAATTTAAAATTTGGTATTTGAAGTTCAAAATGGATACTACACCCTAAGACAGAAAATTGTCTGAGCAGGTCCACGTCTTCGTATAGCCCCCATATAACGGTACCTCCCTATATTCGGTATTTTGATAATTTTTGCGACATTATTCACCGAAGTTGTTCGTTATGGGAACTACAGTCTGTGACAGAAATTTGTCTGTGCGGGTCCAGGTCTTCGTATAGGCCCCATATATCAGTACCTCCCTATATTCGGTATTTTGACGATTTTAGGTACAATACCCACCGAAATTGTTTGAGATGTGGTATTTGCAGTTCGTAATGGATGCTACAGCCTGTGACAGAAAATTGTCTATGCTGGTCCAGGTCTTCGCACAGCTCCAATTTAACGGCACCTCCCTATGTACGGTATTTTGATGATTTTAGCTACATTATTCACCGTTTATTTCAAGTTTCGAATTTGAATATGGTAATGGCTAATGACAAACAATGCCTATGTATGTCCACGTCGTATAGACCCCAATATAACGGCTATATTCGGTATTTTTAAAATTTTAACATATTTTTTTAAGGATTTTAGTTTTTGAAAATTTCCAAATTCGTTGTAAATGGTAGAGGGTATTAAAAGTTCGACCCGGCCGAACTTACTACTTGTTAACTTGTTTGTACTTTAAAATTGAAACACATTTGTACTCAGATACTTTTGTATATAAATGTTATCTTTACCCAATGGTGGATGGTATTAAAAGTTCGGACCGGCCTAATTAATAAGTCAATTCAAATCTATCTTATAATATAGCCGCATATGTTGATAACGTACAATTTTCTGTCCTTTCGATTCAATTTGCTATCCTTTTTGATTGATTTTGGAGGTCTTAGTTTTCCAAAGATATAATGAAGAGAGCACTGTATTGTATATCAATCTCATTGAGCAAAACTTGCCTTTGGAGGAAGAACAAAACACTTCTTATTAATTGCTATACTTTTCAACATTTTTATTAATAATAGCACTTTAAATAAAGTACATTCCAGCATGAGCCCATAAAGTTATTCATTGCAGTAATAGGAGATTACCCGGCCATTATGAAAATGTGGACACGTGCTACGAAACATTGTTTTCTGTGTGTGTGTGTGTGTGTGAAAGTAAATCACTTGTCATCATCAATTTGCACATAAAATGCAAATAAAACAAATGAGACCCCTCTTTGCTTTGGCCATTCATTTCGCTGTCTCTCCTTATTGAAAAAAAAGACTTCTTGTAGTCCCATAAATAATTAACAATTGTTTTGTGAGAACACTTTCCGTCTTTGTACATCAAGTATTTCGTCAACCCAAGGAGCTTGTGAGAGAAATTGTTTAATTAGTTTACTTTGCCTAGGTAGTTAGTAAAATATAATGTACATGTGATTATTATTCTTCATGTTCTTTATAATTAACTGAATACCCCCCATATGTCGAGTACTAGCAGAACAAGAAAGGCCTGAAATTAGTCGGATATGCATATGTATGACAAATTCATTTTCTTATAATTCTGCTTGATTTGTTGTTATTCAAGAAAAAATGAAAACATTTACACCAAAGTGTCAACTTACATTGGACATGATTAATAACACTGATCTGAATCAGGGAAATAAGGAAGTAGAGCGGTGGTATTTAGTGTGTAAAGGAAAACACTCAAAAGAATTCGTGATTAAACTACTTTGGAAAGAATGTATTACAAGGATTTGCTTAATATCGTGAAGAGTTATTCGGCATATACGCTGTCGAAAAGTCGAGTTCCGAAATCTCTCCCATAAGATAAACAAGTAAAAAAGCTGTAAGATCGGCCGGGTCGAACTTTTAATACCCTCAACCACTTGGTACAAATTTGGCAAATTTCCAAAAAAAAAAAAAATAATAAATAAATAAAATCCGTTAAAAATTCTGTTAAAATCTTAAAAATACCGAATGCTTATACGACGACGTGGGCCTGCATAGGCAACTTTTGTCATAAATTATTACAATATTTAAATGCGAAACTTGAAGAAAAATCTGTTTATAATGTAGCTAAAATCGTCAAAATACCGAATATGGGGGGTACCGTTATATGGGGGCTATACGAAGACGTGGACCTGCACAGACAATTTTCTGGCATGGGATGAAGTATTCATTACGAATTTCACATGCGAAATTTGAAAGAATCCCTGTAAATAATGTCGCTAAAATCATTAAAATATCGAATATCGGGGGGTACCGTTATATGGGGGCTATATGAAGACGTGGACCTACATGGCTCATTTTTTGACTTTGGATGAAGTATCCATTACGAACTTCAAATACCAAATTTGAAACGATTCCGGTAAACAATGTCGCTACAATCATCAAAATACCGAATATAGGGGGGTACCGTTATATGGGGGCTATATGAAGACGTGGACCTGCACAGATAATTTTCTGTCTTAGGCTCTAGTATCCATTACGAACTTCAAATACCAAATTTGAAATAATTCCCGTGAATAATGTCGCTAAAATCATTAAAATACCGAATATCGGGAGGTACCGTTATATGGGGGCTATATGATAACTTGGACCTACATGGCCCATTTACGAACTTAACCTGCCTACTGGGAAAATATACATGTGTGCAAAATTTTAACCTTCTATCTCAATTCGTTCGAAAGATAGCGTGATTACAACAGACAGACGGACATAGCTAAACCGACTTAGAATTTTACGCTGATCAAGAATATTGGGTCTGACATGAGTATTTCGAGGAGTTACAAACGGAATGACAAAATTAGTATACCCTCCATAGTATGGTGGAGGGTGTAAAAAAGTTAAATCTATAAAATACCCAGTGTTGCACTGTTGACTTCTGTAATTAAGATCTAGAGGGTGAGATGAAAAAACTGCAAAAAAATCAAACGCCATAATTTTTACATTTTTTTTTTTAATTTTATTGAATGAAAGCCAAAAATGTCGGAAATAGCATCAAATTGTAGAGTAAGTTTAGATTTGTTCGAAATGGTCAACTTTAGCACGAATGCTTGGCCTTGAAACCGTCACACGCTGTCCGAATGTTGCTCTGCGGTATTATGGCCAATTCCCGGCGAAGCGCTTGCTTGAGGTGATCGACACTTTGGTATTTTTAGAGCCAACCTTGCATTCCAAAATACGTCAGACACAACGGATTGGTATCCGGAGATTTTGGTGGCCATTGAGCGCTGGAAAAGACCATTAACCATTCTTGGGTGGCGTGTGCTGAGTGCGACGGTGCTGAGTCCTGTCGGAATGTCCAAGGTCTGCGGCCAAAATGTTTGCGTGCCCAAAGCTTTAATACACCCTCCATAATATTTTCGCGATAATATTCGGCATTTATTCTGATGCCACGGTCGATTAATACGAGCGGAGAGCAACCATCGGCTATTATGGCGGCCCACACCATCACTATGGCCGGCGCTTGAGTTCTGGCGCCCAACCGAAGCTGACCTCTTTGACAAGTAACCTTTTGTTTGTTTACAAACTGCTGGACAACGAATGTTTTCTCATCGGAGAATACCAAATTCGACAGTTCAACACGTTCGGCCGAGCGAAGCAACTCTGTAGCTCTTTTGAGTCTCACCTACACTACGCAGTTACTCAAGATCACGTTACAGTTTAAGATGCTCATAACTCTTTAAATATCTACAATTCGGAGTTTTTAGCATAATTTTGTTTGCAGATATTAAGAGGGAAAATAGCCTATTTTAAAATATCCATAACTCCTTAAATATTGACATTTCGGGGTTTTTAGCATCATTTTGATCGGAGATATTTAAAGATTTATTTAAAGAGCATTTTAAAATGCTCATAACTCCTTAAATATTGACATTTCTGGGTTTTTAACATCATTTTTATCGCAGATATTTAAAGAGGAACAATAGCCTATTTTAAAATGCTCATAACTCCTTAAATTGACAAGAAACAAGGGAACTGATGAGGATTGATGGCTCTTTCCTGTCTTACCCTTGGCAAACATTACCATCTTTCTCCATTAATAAACAATCGAACGAACATGTCAACACTGTGGTATTTCAACTTTTAATTATTAAATTATTATTATATTTTATTTTTGCTTAAGTTCCGCACAGTCACTATTCTCTAAGCCCAAGTGATTTCCTACCTTTTGCTACCAATGCAACGCAGACATTGATTAAAGCTCGTCTACAGATGTTATAGTAGCGATAATAGTCCCATCAATGCCGCCATTTAGTAATTAAAAGAACACACACACTAACACAGCTTCACTTCCTCCTCCATTGGGAAGATGTAAGTATGGAAAATAATTTATTTAACAGAGTCTATGACATCGACGTAATTAATATTATTATTATTATTATCAGTAGGAACTATATGTATGTTTTTTAAATAAAACAAAAAACAACAACAAAATACAATTATCACCATTCAATAGAAAACGCAGACAAGTGTGCTCCTCTATCTCTGCGTGGCAGCTGCCTGAGGGCCTTGTGTAACAGCACTTCCTGTGCGGAATGAACGTTTTTCTCCTTCGATTTCAATATATAATACACTTCCGTTGAGGATTCATTTGTGTTGAGGGTTTGCAGGAAAACGTCTCGGCAAACTCATCAAAATTCGCCAACATGGCTCGCACACGAACCTCTTCGGGCGGATGGACATCGGTGATGGTGACCAAATGACGCCAACGGCGATTGACATCGGTGCACCATAGCTGGGCGGTGCTGATGAAGAAAAGCTGTCGTGCTGTAATCGTGTCCATGTGTGGCAAATGTTCCGGTGTCTGGTGATGTTGTTCCAGATAACGATCATAGGCCAGGTAGGCAATGCGTATGCCCACATTATCGGCTATGTTTTCGCCCTGAGCCTGGGCCTTGGGCAGGAAACGTCCACCGAATTTGTGACTACCATATTGTTGGCGCAGGCATTCTTTGCGTACCTCGAAGGTGAGGCTGGCATTGCGATCCCACCAATTGTTGAGATTGCCCTTGGCATCATATTTGCGAATGGTGTCATCAAAGCCGTGGGCCATTTCATGGGCAATGGTAAAGCCCACGGTGCCATATTTTAAGGCCTTGGGATAGACATCGTCCCAAAGGAAGCGGGGTTGTAAAAATGCCACCGGCAGTAGGACTCGATTGTATTCTGCCGCGTAAGCGGGTGTGAAACTCAGGAGCTCATATTCCTCCAGACGTGGTGGCTCTTCGATTTTCAAACGATAGTTTTGTCCCTTGAGCTTAAGAATGCTAATGACATTTTCAAAATACTGATGGGTGGAAATGACCAACGGACCCAGTTCTTTGGTAAAATCCACATCGCTGTATGCATTAATTTCAAATGTCATGGCGGAGAGTTTTTCCAATGCCTTGTCTCGCGTACTTTCCTGCATCCATTGGGTGTTGGTTCCATTGAAAATGTCTTGAAACGAGGACTTTAAATGTTGCCAGATATCCTTGACTTCCTCGATTATATTGGGATTTGATTTCAACAAATCCTGATAGATTAAATTATCCAGAAATTTTGGAAAGTATTTCCGCGTGGTTTCAATGCATTTCTTTTCTTGCTTCTCATTGTTGGCCTCCACATCTAAACGGAAATCCTGCAACAACTGCCACATAATATAATTGGCCACTGTGGTGGTGGGTGTTTCCAAAATGACCAAACGCAGGTTGCGCAAATAGTTCTCCACATATTCGTAGACCGGCAATTTGTAGTCATAGCCCAGCCAGGTATTAACATACAAAGTAAAATTCAATACCGGGCCATAATTGTCGGTCATGGTGTCCAGTAGTCTGAGGCGCGCCTTATCTTCCATGCCCAGTCCCTCCAAAGGATCGGCCATACCCATGGCCAATTTCTGGGCAAATTCAGCCATTTCCCTGGCCGTGATCAATGCCACGGGGGATGAGAGACCCAAAACCTTTTGCAAATCCATTTGCCAAGCCATGGCCAGACGAGCATAAAACTCCTTCGAGCTACCCGGTACCATGTCATCGATTTGTCCAATATACAAACGGTTCACCTCGTTGTTATTCAAATCCGCATTAATATCGGCATTTAAAATAATCCTCTTGCCGTATTTCCTCAGAATCTGGGCAATGACCTCCAGCCAATTGAACGAGGGTTCATGCCAGGCAGCCCCCTTCAAGGCTGGCATGCCCCCAAACTCCTCCATTATGCTCATGAGATTTTCACGATAATGGCGCCCAATTGAATCCCTTTGCAGGCACGATTCATAGAAATACTTGACTTTACGTTCCGTTTCCGTATCATTGGAATCCTTGCCATTGCCCAGTAAGGTCGACAGCTTACGATTATAGGCCTTTGAGAGAATATTGAAAATATTCGTCTTTACCTCAGCATTGGCCGGATTAATGTGGGCCCAATTGCCACAGGCGTAACCGTAGAAATCATCACATGGCTGGACCTGAGGTCGCATGTAATTCCGCATTTCGGCCGATTTGGCCAGACGCATTATCTGGTGAGCAAACGGGGTATTAAATTGATCCTCATTGGTGGCTCCGACGAGTCTCAGCCATATGCACAAAATTGACGCCAATCTCCATAGAGGAGAAGATTTGAAGTTCATTTTCGCCGTCTTGTCATTTACCGTTCACTTTAATTTCACGACTAAATCTAAATTTATTTCACTACAATATTTTCTGTCGTATTTCTGTTTGTCACATCTAGAGTTCATTTCTGAGGTTATCATCTACGAAATATCTCAAGCTGTTATTTTTGTGTTCTCTTCACTTTCATTATAAATAAGTATTTACAATGTATGTGTATTTCTTACATCAAGTGATGACCGATAGTGTCATTTTGTCATAAATCATGTATGGCCTTGGCAATGACGTTGTAAATAGTTAACGATTACAAGCATATAATTCCGAGTACTGGCTATGGTGAGGTCACATTGTTTTTAGACTAAAAGTTCAGTAAATGGGAAAGAAATTAAGGTTTTTTATATAACCTCCACCATTGTATGGAGGGTATATTAGCTTTGTCATTCCGTTTGTAACTCCTCGATACATTCATAATAGACCGGAATTTTTTCAAATTTCGTATTTCAAGTTCGTAATGGGTACTACAGCTTATGAGAAAAAATTTTAAATGCAGTCCCACATCTTAGTATAGCCCCCATATGACTGTACCTCCCGATACTCGGTATTTTCGTAATTTGTGCGACATTTTTCACCGGAATTGTAAAAAATTTCGTATTTAAAGTTCGCAATGAGTACTACAGCCCATGACAAAAAATTTCGTATGTCCCCCATATAACGGTACCGGTATTTTAATGCTTTTATCGACATTATTCACTGAAACCGTTTCAAATTTCGCATTTGAAGTACGTAATGGGTACTACAGCATATGGCAAACAAGTAAAAAAACATTAAGTTCGGCCGGGCCAAACTTTTAATACCCTCCACCTTAGGGTAAAAGAAACATTAGAAGAAATGTGGCAAAAACCATTAAAATGCCGATTATGGGGAGGTACCGTTATATAGGGGCTATACCAAAACGTGGACCTATAATTACAATGTTTCGCCACCGGAGCTGGAACCCATTATGACCCACAAATACCAATTTTTAAACAAATCAGTGAAAAAATGTGGCAAAAACCATCAAAATACCGAATATCGGGAGGTACCGTTATATGGGGGCTATATCAAATCATGGACCCATGCATGCAATGTTTCACCACCGAAGCTGGAACCAATTATGACCAACAAATACCAATTTTCGAACAAATCCCTGAAAAAATGTGGCAAAAATCATCAAATTACCGAATATCGGGAGGTACAGTTATATGGGGGCTATACCAAAACGTGGACCTATAATTACAATGTTTCGCCACCGGAGCTGGAACCCATTATGACCAACAAATACCGATTTTCAGACAAATCCGTGAAAAAATGTGGTAAAAAAACTAAAATACTAAATATCGGGAGGTACATTTATATGGGGGCTGTACCACAACGTGGACCTATACATGCAACGTTTTGCCAGACGCTCAGGGACCCGCTATGACCTACAAATACCAATTTTAAGACAAATCCGTGAAAAAATGTGGCATAAATCATCAAAATACCGAATATCGGGAGGTACCGTTATATGGGGACTATACCAGAACGTGGACCGATATATCTCACTTTCAATACCAACCATCCTAGACACAATGCAAATAGCTCTGCTAAATTTTGGAGCTCTACGTCAAATAATGTGGGCTGTATCGTGATTTCAACAGACAGACAGACAGACGGACAGACAGACGGACATCGTTAAATCGACTTAGAATTTTATGCTGATTATGAATATATATACTTTATGGGGTCTAAAACGAATATTTAGGGATGTTACAAACGGAATGACAAAGTTAATATACCCTCCTTTCCAAGGTGGAGGGTATAAAAATCGTAAGCAGGTCCGTCTGTCTATGTAGTACCGATTCCGAACTTCAAATACGAAATTTAAAACAAATCCGGTAAAAATGTCTCTAATATCATCAAATGGGAAAAAAAATCGTGTTAATTATGCCGCTAATATCAAAATACGAAATAAAAGAAGGCAACAATTCCGGTAAAAATATCGCTAAAATCATCCAAAAAACGAATATCGGAGGGGGGCGTTACAGTTGTATGGGGGGAGGCTACACCATATATACAATTCTCTTTCAAGGTGTAAAGTTCTAAAAAGGAACTCCTTGTGTGGATTTTCAGACAATTTCATTGCAAGTTTTGGCTTCAATCATAAAAATACCGAATATCAGGAGGTACCGTTATGTGGTGTATATATTGCAAAATTTTAGCTTCCTATCTTAATTCGTTTCGACTCTAGCGTGAATACAACAGGCAGACGAACGGACAGGTCTAAATCGTCTTAGAATTTTACGCTGATCGAGAATATATGCACTTTGTTATGTCTAAAGTTATTCTTTCGATGAGTTACAAACGGAAAGACGAACTTAATATACTCCGGTACTAGGTATAGTACAGGGTATAAAATATGCTGAAAAAATGTCCATAAACCGCCCATCTCATATTTTTTTACCCTCAGCCATATGGCTAGAGAGGGTATATATCATTTTATACGGTAAAAACGATCCGGGTCGAAAAAACGGTTTTAGACCCTAGATCTCTTTGGACCAAATCGGTTTCAGAACATTGGGAGTCGATCTACCGATGTCCGTCCGTTTGCCTGCCAGTCTGGCTGGCTGGTGCACACGATAACTCTCGAAGGGAGCATCCAATTTGGTCCAAACTTGGTATATCGTAACCTTCTTTGTCAAACTTAGGTCGAGTTCGGAGATAGGAAATAATGGTCCACTCCTTCAGGTAACTCCCCCACAAAATATCAAAATGTCCAAAAAATATATTTTCTGCCCATAAAGAGAAAGGATAATCTGATTTTGCTCCTACTTTGCAAATCCTAATATTTCCATCTGTGCTAGGTCAGGTGAAAGAATGGACAATATCTATGTCTGCGTGTAAAGTACTCACAAGGAACTCCATGTATGGATTTTCAGATAATTCCATTGGAAAAAGTGGCTAAAATCATCAAAATACCGAAAATAGGGGAGTACCGTTATATGGGGGATATACGATATTGTGGACCTATATAGACAATTCCGTTTCAGGGGTAAAGTGCTCACAAAGAACTCCGTGTGTGGATTTTCAGACAATACGATTGGAAAATGTGGGTCAAATCATAAAATACCGAATATCGGAAGGTACCGTTATATGGGGGATATACGATATCGTAGACCTGTATAGACAACTCTCTCTCAGGGGGTGAAGTACTCACAAGGAACTACTTGTGTTGAATTTAAGCCAATTCCATTGAAAAGCGAGGCTAACATCAACAAAATAACGAATATCGGGGGTTACAGTTATATGGGAGATATACGATATCGTGGACCTATATAGAAAATTCTTTTTGAGGAGGTAAAATGCCCACAAGGGACTCCTTTTGTGGAATTTCAGACAATTCCTACAATCATCAAAATACCGAATATCGGGGGTACCGTTACATGGGGGCTATACGATATTGTGGACCTGTATGGACAATTCTCTGCCGAGGTATAAAGGAACTCCCTTTGATGGATTTTCAGACAATTCCGTTGAAAAATGTGGGTAAAACCATCAAAATACCGAATATCGGGGGTACTGTTATATGGGGGCTATACGATATTGTGGACCGATATAGCCCATCTTCGAACTTGACCTGCCTGCAGACAAAAGAGAGATCTGTGCAAAATTTTAGCTTCCTATCTTAATTCGTTTAGACTGTAGCGTGATTACAACAGACGGACGGAAAGGGCTAAATCGTCTTAGAATTTTACGCTGATCAATAATATATATACTTTGTTGGGTCTAAAATGATTATTTCGATGAGTTACAAACGGAATGACGAACTTAATATACCCTCCATACCTTTTTTGGTGGAGGGTATAAAAATGGTAGAGATCGGATCATTCCGAAATAAGCATCCAACTTTCTTCAAATTTCCACATCCAAATATTTTTGCTAACGCAAGATCTGTTGTGTAGGTGATACATATATGCCAACACCTTCTTGTACCTCACCCACAAAGGTTCACAATATCCAATACTTATATCTGTCATAACTTGCGAAAAAAAGTCGGCGATTCTTTACAACTTGCTATATCTAAATATTTTTCTTAAATAAAATAAAATTCCACATACCAATATTTTTATATGTATTAGATGAAGTATGAAAATGGAATAATTCGGTCCGTTACATCTGTTACCTCATGCATATTTCCACATTTTCCAACAATTTTCACATATCTCATATAAAGTATAGTAAGATAGGAATTGGTCAATATTGGCAAACTGCTTCAGAACCTTTCCCATGAAGTGTCAACAGTTTGAATAATCATAACTCAAGGCTGGAGGTATACATCTTTTGGCAAAACCGACAGTTACTATTTTACCTGTTTATTTACATTTTCATGCCCACTTTTGGGCATGGATTCCCACTTTCGAATACAGGGCTTAGCATGGACAGGAATATGTACAAAAAAAAATTTAATATGTATGGTAGCGAGAGATTTAAAAGCTATTTTTTCTATAAATACTGTGACAAGTTTTGCAGCTTGGCGTATTTATAAAATTTTACTTAAATTGTCAAATCGTTTCCGTTTCGCCACTTGCATATGAAGTGAGGGAAATCTGCAATTTGGTCCAAACATTGACCATAGTAATATTTTTAAAAAAATAGTTTGTTCACGAATGGTCCAACTTTTGAGTAATTTTAAACAGAACATAGGAAGTAATTGAAAAGTTGCAGTCCAACACGTTGCCTATGTGCATATAGACAAAATATATATGTATGTAAGCAAATTTAATACGTGGAAACTATAAATCCTCGCTGTAAAATGTCCAGCTATGTCGGTGAATAAGTGAACTATTATGAACTTTTTATACCCAACACCACAAGGTGGTCAGAGTATTATGTCTTTGTGCATTTGTTTGTAACAGGCAAAAGGAAACGAGATAGACCCATAGTTCCTTTTGATGATCTGCATAGAATCACATTCTGAGTCGATTTATGCATGTCCGTCCGTTTGTCCGTCTATCCATGTATTTTTGTAAACAAAG